AAGTCTTTGGTTAATTTCCAGAGTTCTGAAAAAGGTTATTTTGATAACTTTTACCAATGTTCTTGTTGTTTTTATAATAGAGAGGGTTTTCAGTTGTCGTAACTCTGTCATTCCTAATGAAATCTTGTGATTTCTTTCATCGGTGTTTTTACAGTTTTCACCTAAGGCACTGGCATGATTTGTTAGATTTAAAACTAGTATTTCATGGTTTTGGCGCTAATGTAAATATTATTTTAAAAATTTTAACTTTTAATGGTTCATTGCTGGTAAATAGAAATTCAGTTGACTTTTGTTTATTGGACTTGAATATTGAAATCACTAAACTCACTTATTAATTCTAGTAGCTTTCTTTATGTAGATTCACTGGGATTTTCTACATAATCATTTTATTTGTGAATAGAGATAATTTTATTTCTTCCATTTTGTATGAAAATTTTAGTATATTAGCCTTATTGCAAACCTGTTTTTATCCTGATTTATAAATTTGCTTATTTGCTCAGAGTTTTCTCACGTAACTACTTTTGATGTACTACCCAGTGGTAATGTAGTACTGCTTCTTCCCAGTCATTACCTATTTTATGAGCGGACAACTATGTGGTCTTTCTGTTATGAGTCATGTCTACTTCCTTGATCAGTTTATATAATTTAGACCTATCTGCCATATGAATATTTTTAAAAGAAGACTATCTTTATGGAATGTTTATTCCAATGAATATATATTATTAAAAATTTGGCAGCTAGCAATGGAATGATTAAAATATCTCCCTATGACTGTGTCCTTGAAATATTTTATGGCATTCCCACTGAAAATCATAATTCTCTTGTTTGGAATGGATGATTCACAGTAGCTATATATCTTTAGAGAAATTTCTCTCTCTCTCTTTTTTTAATTGACCTTCCTTCACACATATGAATTCTGTGACTGTGATTGTTCTATGTTCAGACTCTGAAATTTAAAACTAAAATGGTTTTTAAAGGTCATAAAAGCTAGTCCTTTTATTTTATAGATGATAAAAGAGACTTCATTATCCGTCTGCAGCAGAGCCTTCTTTTATTAAACTGTAGGATGTGCATTCTGATTTATCAGCATTTCGCTGTGTACCTCTGCTTCTAACACCCTGGTCTGACCACATCGGGTTTTGCTGGATCAGTGTAATAACCTCCTAACTGGTCTCTGTGCTTCTACCTTTGTCCTCCCACATTCTATTCGCAACACTTGTGAATAAACCTGAGATCCCATCACTACTCTATTCAAAACCTTCCATTGACTGTTCATGTCACTCAGAATAAAAACTAAAGTCTTTAAAACACAGAGTATTTACAATAGTCTATAAGACTTTTAACAATTTGCACACACCTCAACCAGTTCCTGGTCTGACTTAATCATTCAATAGCTTGCTACTCTCTTATTTTGCTTCAGTGTGCTGGTTCCTTGCAGTTCCTATAACATGCTGGGCATACTCTAGCTTACTAGCATGTGCTCTCTTTGACTCCTGCCTGGACTACTTTGTTTCTAGATAGATACACAGTTTACTCCATTTCCCCTCTCAATACCACCTTCTCAAAGAGGCCCCTCTTGAACATCCCATTCCAAATTAATTCTAGCCGGGGCCTCCAATCTACTCAAATTTTTCTTTCTATTTTTCATAAAACATTTTTCATGTTCTAAAATACTACATAATTTACTCATTTATTGTATTCACATTTATGCTTAAATGTGTGCTCCATAAAGGCAAGGATTTTTTCCTTCTTTGTTAACTGATGTATCCCTGGCAACTTGGCACATAATAACCCGATACCTTTGCCACTGAGTTGATTCAGACTCAAAGCGACCCTATAGGACAGAGCAGAACAGCTCTATAGGGTTTCCAAGGAGTGGCTGGTGGATTCGAACTGCCAAATTTTTGGTTAGCGGTCATAGCGTGCCATAGCTCTTAACCACTGGGAATAATAGGCACTCAATAAATATTTGTTAATGAATGAATACATAAAAGAAAGAAACTACTGTGACAATTTAAAACCATATCCAGGTTTTGATCTAATAACAGTGCTCATCATTTTTTATGTAGTCCAGTAATATTAAAAACCAAAAAAAAAAAGAAGAAAAAAAAAATAAAACAACTGGTGATGTTAAGTCTCTTTAAGATAAAACATTTTCCCAGAGGTTTTATATAAAACCTTTTAGGAATATGTTTATACTGAAAAAGAAAAGTTGGCCAACATGGAATGCATAATGCAAAAATTTATTTTTTTGCTTTGATAACTCATTATATTAAAAATAAGAGATGAAGTCTTTCAATTTTATAGGGCTTCCTTGATAAGGGAGCATGTCTTGACTGTGACGGGAACTTCTATGGTGTTCCTTTAGTCAATGCTGCTGTAACTGGGATTAGCGTTGCTCAGCTTCCATGTGTCCCCAGCCATCACTTAGGTAAATACAACACTTGTTTCAAATAACTTGCTGACTCATTTCTACCACACTCTTCTTTGACTTCATTGAGATGACCAATAACCTGACTTCTCTCTCTCTGTCTTTCTTTTTTTATTGTGATAAATATATATGTAACAAATTGTTTGCCATTTCAACATTGAGGACTCTTTCTTCTCTTTTCTCCTGGTCTGTCACCTGTTATCTGTTTCACATTCTTGTCCACTTAAGTAATGTGGTACATCAGTTTAACTACTCTGTTACTACTACCCTATTCTCCTTGTTTTTGATATACCCTGCCCAAAAATCCCCCCAATCACTTGGTATCTCTCTGGGGTTGCCATCACGTTTGGGGAAATCAATTAGCTTGCAGACTAGTGTCAATGCAAAGTTACAAAATCTGATTTCACATAGTCCTCAAAATGCTTCTTGAGGATCACTGTATTTTTACTAGGTCAACTTCCTCACTTGTTTTCTGTAACAGTCATTACAGATCTTCATTACTCTCCTTAAATCCACTGTACAGCTCCCTCCTCCCTCCTACCTCCCTTCTTTCTGCCCTCCTTTTTTTTTCCCTTCTTAAACATATATTGAACAATTTGCTATGTGCCAGAAACTTGACAGTGAGTTTAGGATAGAACAGTAAACAAGATGCCCATTACTACTTTGTGTATCTCACCAGGAAATGTTGTCTAATACACTTTTATGCTTAATAAGCAAGATAGAGAAGTAAATAGATATTTGTAGTACAGAATGAGAAGTACAAAGTGTTATAGGAGCTCATAGGGTTATGGTGGGTCATGGAAAATTCCCCACAGGAAATATTTTAAAGTACAAAGATTAAGTTTAAGGGGCTGAGACAAGTCAGGAGTATTTGAAGAGATAAAAACATATGCAAAACCTTAGGGCCGAGAGAGCTTGGCAGGTGGGAGACACTACACATTTCACTCAGTAGAACTGAAATGTGTGGTGTGAAGGATGACTAGAGGGAGAAGGACCAGCTATAGCCCATCATCCCTTATATCTCCAAGAATGGTATGGCTTTGTTTAGCTTTAGCTTCTGGTTCTAGGTGAATTTACTACAAACCAAGTTGCCTAGGTTGCCAATTTACTGAATGAACAGTTTATCACTTTTTCTTATTTCTCTTAACTTATTATGAAGTTTAAAGCAATTCGTGTTGGAAATCTCAAGAGTTCTACAAAGTTTTAGTAGATGTTTAAGAATTTTGTCTTTGTAATAGCACTTCAAGGGGTAATTAGTTTGCATTTCTCCCAGTTGCCTGTTTTTGGACAAGTAGGGTGTAGGAACTCTCCTTAGAGGACAGGCAGAGCAAGTGGCTGCATAGAACTCTGTCTTCCTGTAACTCTGGGGCTGGTGGTGTGCTGAAGTTTGCAACTAAAGGACAGAGGGAGAAGTCCTAGATAGTTTTTCTCAGAATATATCATTGGAAAATATTCGTTCTTATGAAGAAATAATCATATATGAAATATTCTTTGTTATTTTATTTAATTTCTCCTTTAATATCAAATTTTCTTATGCACACATACTTTTTATGCCATTTGGTTTCAATCTTCTCTGGTCCTTATCTCTTTCTGCTTCTGAGACCAACAGCCTAGGCTATTTGTGCTAATTCTCCTCTCCATCTTGTATTCATCAGCCATATCCTCCCTTTTATTGATTAGCCTTATACCTTAGAGCCCATCCTCTTCTATGTATCGTGATCCAAAGTTTCTTTAGCTAGAAATTTGCCTTTTTATCAAGTTTTTCTCCTTAGTAAAAACATAATAAAAAGCTTAGAAGTAGTAGCTGTGTTCTATTTTTCTGTTCCAAACTCTTGGGCTCATCTGTCTTAGTAAATCCTAAATAAATATTTTCTAAATGAATATTTTGTGGATTAATGTTGATATCTACCTAGTCTAGGAAGTTCACCTTTTTTAATGCAAATTAGACTTTGACCCTAGCTGGTTTTGGAAGTATTCTTCTGAGGTGATGATATGTTGAGACTGATCTGGGATGTCATTGAAATATGTGAATAACTAAGAACCCACACACAGTAGGTTTTCAATTTATCCTCATTTGTTGGAGATTTCCTAGACCAGGCAGAAAAGACTCTGTAAATTTAGCCAGGACAGATACTCTGGAGCTTGGAGCTACAACAGGTAGAATGTGAGGACGAGAAGTCTTCTTGACAATGCAAATGCCCTGAAAATGGTAATTGAAAGTGGATGACAATCAAATTTATGGCTGAGATGACAAATTTATAGGTTTATAAACTAGAGAGAATTTTGATCTTGGCAAGGGTCTTCTGGAGAAAGGCCACAGGTTGGGTCAGTAAATAGGCTGTCCAAAGAATCCACTGGTACATAAATCCTACAATGACTAAGAGATGACTATGATTGTTACTGTTACTCACGTGGAATTAGAAAAATACATATGGGTATGGAAGACATTGAATGGGCTGCGATATAAACGTATCTTAATGTTTCATAGCTTTTAAGTGCTTGAATCTTTGTCAGCCATTGCTTGGGAAATGGAGACTTCTTGTATTATATGCATAAATGTATTTTGCAGGTTTACAGCAGTTTGTTGGAAGAATGCAAGATTTTCGATTATACCAAGTGGCACTTACAAACAGGTAAGCAGATGAGTAAGGATAATGTAAAGATAAATGCTGAATTCACTTAAATAAGAGCGGTGTGAAGATTATAGCATTTTTCATCTTTACAGCATTTGGCAAACATCACCTAATTAATGTTTACAGTGTTTGCTCTGGCTTACTCTACGGCTGTTATTCACTAGTGCTACTCTATCAGGTAACTCCTTCTAGTGTGAAATATTCTTTACAACAGATTGTCTCCAAGAAAAGATTGATTTTTGAACAAGCTGTGTTATGGAATTTGGTATACAGTTACTTAAAAATTCTATGTGAAGTAATTCTAATACTTAAGAAATGGCTTTGTTTGCTTTTTAAAATTGCTTTGTTGAATTTATAACTACTAGAGAATGTAGAAAAATGAAAATGATTAATTATTTTGATATATGGGAGAAAATCTCAAGAGATTGGGCTATTAGACTTGGAAACAAGAAGAATGAATAATTTGAGCTATTGTTATCTATATATATATTTCTACTTCCAGTGAACAAATAATTATAGAGATTGGGACTAGGTTTAATCAAGTATTTCCTCATCTTGAGAGTAGGTGGGAAATTTTCCTTAGGATTCTCAGAGGTACGTAGATTTCCATTCTGTTCAGAATGGTTCAAATGAAATATTGCTTATGATGTCCTCTGAAGTTCCTTTCTTGACTTATGATTTGAGGATATGGATAACTTGCATAGTTTAGCTCATCTTATTTACTCCTATTAAAGACCAAAAATACATTCTTTTGTATTTCTTCAAGGGAGGTGTAGATTAATGTAGTGGATTTCCAAATAACAGAATTAGCTCTTGTTAATTGGAGAAGCATTATTCCTGAGTTGTTGCTATTGTCAGCAGCATGTCCATTAGCTTTATAAACATTCTCTCTCATTAGCCTACGTAATCAAGAGATACCTGAATAAAAGGGTGTTTTAACACTAGAACACATTACTGGGGAGATTTACTACCATTAGCCTTAATATCTTTTGAATCACCTTTCTGTAAAATTTTGAAGGATGATGTTGCAGTAATTCTTTGGGAATCAGGTTTTTCCTAGGGATGAAAATTTCATACTAGATAGTCACTTTTGGAGCCCTGGTTGTGCAGTAGTTAAGAACTCAACTGTTAACTGAAAGATCGGCAGTTCAAATTCACCGGCTGCTCCTTGGAAACCCTATGGGACATTTCTACTCTGTCTTATAGGGTCACTATGAGTCGGAACGGACTTGACGGCAATGGGTTTGGTTTGGTTTGGTTTAGTCACTTTTGGTCGCATTCAAAACTTTGTACCCATTGAAAAACATTGATGATATTTAAAAGAGATGTGACTTCATCTGACTTAGGGAATAGGAAAGCTGCCTAACCCTTCCACTGCTCCACTGGGGTCTGAAAGAAGCAGCCTGGTCTCTCCAGGTAGACTTGAGTTACTGCTGTTGGCCTACATGAAACGTCTGGATAGGCGTTATGTGGAAGGATGCCTATAAATAGAATGACTAATTCTGATCTAGAAGAGTTCCATTGCCCTTAATGGAAAAATTAAATATATCTGCCTGGACTTGGCATTCTTCTTTGACTGTTGGCAGCTACCACATGATCTGAAGCCATTGAAGCATTTTAGGATGCCAAAATTTGTACTGATGAGTCACAGGAAACCATTGACAAATGGCCTTGGCCTCAGTTCCTCCACCCAAAAGAAAAGCAGATAAAATGATGTTTGCTTTCTTCTTTGGATGGACTAGAGATCCTGCCTATAACTCTCATTATTTCCAATATATTTTCATTCACTCTTAACAGTAAATTAAGTTAACCTAAGTGAATGTTATTACAGATAGGCACAGTAAAATATAGTGATATTTAAATAAATTTCTTGATAACCAGAAAGGGCTTGTGATGCTTAAATTAACCCCTAAGAATTTACTGATTTTGATATTTCTTTTAGGAGAGTGAATATACATACTTGGCCAGGAATGAGTTTGATTTTTTTCTGTTTAGAAAATTATTAAAGCTAAATGGATATTCATCAAAATATGAAAATAGTGATACTTATTGTAACAACAACTCTTAGCTCTGTCACTGTTGAACTACTTGTCCTTACGGTCTTCCTCTTGACTCCCACAGGGAGATTCAGGAAGTGTTTTCTGGAGATCTGCTCAGAGTGCACGTGCAGTCACAGTGCCGCTGTCCCGGCAGTCACCCTCGGGTCCATCCTTCCATGCAGCGGTACTGCATTCCTAACGGTGCAGAAGACACAACTGAGAACCGAGTGTCAAGGCTCAACCCCAGAGCCCATCCTCTCTCTTTTGTCAATGATAATGATATTGGTACTTCGTGGGTTTCACATGTGTTTACAAACATTACTCAGCTTGATCAAGGAGTAACTATTTCTATAGACTTGGAAAATGGACAGTATCAGGTAAATAGAGATACTGAGGAGAAAACTGAATTAAGCAATTGACTATTACCTCACTAAGAATCCCCAGTGGCACAGTGGTTAAGCTCTCGGCCGCTAACCGAAAGGTCAGTGGTTCGAACCCACCAGTGGATATACGTAAGAGAAAAGACCTGGTGATCTGATCTCATAAAGATTACAGCCTAGGAAACCTTATGGGGCAGTTCTACTCTGTCCTATAGGGTCACTATGAGTTAGAATCAACTCCACAGCACATAATAACAGCAACAAAGTAGAGCCACGCCATTATAATATACGGAATAAAAATATCTAAAAGAGGATATACATGGCCTAAATTTTACGAATTTTGTTATCAAAATCACACTTATGAAATGTTAAAACTAATACTTTATATTGTTAAATAACACAAAGTGATAAGAGCTGAGGTGCTTGTTCTTAATAACTACTTGAAAAGAACATACGTGGCAGTTATTTCATAGAACTCATACTCTTTGTTTACATATTTATATCAAGCTGAATATTAATTTGAACTTTGATTTATAAAACCCTTGAAAAAAGAGACTGAGATGCAATGATAGAATGTGTTGCTTTTACTAGAGGGCTATGAAGTTTTTGAACGTCCAATAAATATTTGATGATTATAATGATGAGGAAATGAGCCCTTACATTTGAATTTAACAATTCCGTAGTTTGCTTTATACTGATGGGTCAAACTTCAATTGCAATAATTTGCTTATCCATTTTCAGGTGTTTTATATTATCATTCAGTTTTTAAGTCCACAACCAACAGCAATAAGGATTCAAAGGAAGAAGGAAGACAGCCTAGACTGGGAAGACTGGCAATATTTTGCTAGAAATTGCAGTGTTTTCGGAATGAGAAACAATGGAGATTTGCAAAATCCTGATTCTGTCAACTGTCTTCAGCTTCCCAAGTATGAATGTTTTAAAAACAATGATCCTTTAAGGCATTAAGGAGTTAATTTTAGTAGATTAATGGGTTAGTAGTAATCTACATGTAAGCTAGCTTGCTAGGTTAGTAGAGGCCTCTTTCCACCATCAGCTTTCCTGAAGTGTATTCTGAGTCTTCTCTCTAGACTGAGTTCTAAGCTATGTTTAAAGTTCTTGTTTAAGACTTGAAAGTGTCTCTTGTTTACAAATCTCACCGGTGCTTTGAAACCTGATTTTCAGATTGTTTGGCAAGTTATTATCTATATTAATAGCATTTTCCTTATGCCATCAAGGAAATGTCTTAAAATGTCTCTCTCTTATTACTCTATAGTGTTTGTTTATGAGATACAAGGACTATGTTTGCTTTCTAGAGTGAAGAGTTTAAGCTGTTACTGATATTGTGTAGGAATGTCTCAAAAGTTGTGACTTCCGTTTTGTAAACAATGTGAATAGGGTTTCATTATTTCTAATTTCTGTCGTCAACAGTTTCACTCCATATTCCCATGGGAATGTTACATTTAGCATCCTGACACCTGGACCAAATCGTCGTCCTGGGTACAATGACTTCTATAACAGCCCATCTCTTCAAGAATTTGTAAAAGCCACACAAATCAGGTTTCATTTCTCTGGGCAGTACTATACCACTGGGACTGCTGTCAACCAGAGGCACAGATACTACGCAGTGGATGAAATCACCATCAGTGGGAGGTAGGGCTCGTTACTAAGATATTGATTGGAGTGTGCTTTTTACTACGAATTTTGTTTATAGCAAGGATTTTGCCATACTTATTTAGAAATACATTAGCTAAGATTTTAGAGCAAGCAAGATTTCTTTCCATTAACATTTATTTTATTTTATTTTTTTAAAGCTGTTTTTCTTTTTTTAATTGTACTTTAGATGAAGGCTTACGGAACAAATAGTTTCTCATTAAACAGGACACATATTGTTTTATGACAACGGTTAACTACCCCACGACATGTCAACACTGTCGCTTCTCAACCTTGGGTTTTCTGTTACCAGCTTTCCTGTCCCCTCTTGCCTTCTAGTCCTTGTCCCTGGACTGTTGTGCTCCATTAGTCTCATTTTGTTTTATGGGGCTGTCTGACCTTTGGATGAACGGTGAACCTCGGGAGTGACTTCACTACTGAGCTAAAAGGGTGCCTGGGGCCATACTCTTGGGGTTTCTCTAGTCTCTGTCAGGCCAGTAAGTCCGGTCTTTTTTGTGAGTTAGAATTTTCTTCTACATTTTTCTCCAGCTCTGTCCAGGACCCTCTGTTGTGACCCCTGTCAGAGCAGTCAGTGGTGGTAGCAGGGCACCATCTGGTTGTACTGGACTCAGTCTGCTGGAGGCCATGGTAGATGTGGCCCATTAGTCCTTTGGACTAATCTTTTCCTCGTATCTTGTTTTCTTCATTCTCCCTTGCTCCCGAAGGGGTGAGACCAGTGGAGTATCTTAGATGGCTGCTCACAGGCCCCAGACACAAGCCAGACTTCTGTATTCCAAGTTTTTCTTTTTTTAAATTTGATTGTGGTTAGATACATATAGCATAAATTCTGCCGCATTAACCATGTTTAAGTGTACCTTTCAGTGGTATTAATTACATTCACAAGGTTGTGCAACCATTACCACTATCTATTTCCAAAACTTTTCATCAACCCAAACAAAAACTGCATATTCATTACGCAAAAATTCCCCAGTTCTCTCTCCTCCCTTCCCCTCTCTAATCTACTTTATGTCTATATGTATTTATCTATTCTACATATTTCATATAAATCGAATGATATTTGTCCTTTTGTATCTGCTTATATTGCTTAGCATGCTGTTTTCAGGATTCATCCATGTTGTGGCATATATTATAACTTTATTCCTTTTTATGACTGAATAATACCACATTTTGTTTATCCATTCAACTGTTAATAGACATTTTGATGGTTTCTACCTTTTGGCTATTGTGAATAATGTTGCTGTAAACATTGGTATACAAGTATCTTTTTGAGTCCTTGCTTTAAATTTTCTTGGGTATATCCCTAAGGAAAGATTTGTCCAGCTTCATGTTTTCAAATGATTTCCTACTCTAGGATTATTTTTGGAGACTTATATGTGAGTCTTTCCTGTATGCAACATTGCCTTGCTGTGCAATCAATTTTTAAAAGCTTTTTTTAAAAAAAATTTTCCCATACAAAAATTTATACACACATTGTTATGTGACTCTAATTGCTCACCCCATACTGTGACAGCACTCTCCTCCTTTCCACCACGGATTCCCCACGTCCATTCAACCAGCTCCTAACCCTCTCTGTCTTCCCATCTCACCTCCAAACAGAAGCTGCCCATTTAGTCTCTTGTATCTACTTGAGCTAAGAGGCACACTCCTCACGAGTATCACTTTATGTCTCAGTCCAGTCCAATCCCTGTCTGAAGAGTTGGCCTTGGAAATTGTTTTAGTTCTGGGCTGAGAATCCAGGGGCGATGCTTTCCGGGGTACCTCCAGTCTCAGTCAGACCATTAAGTCTGGTCTTCTTACTAGGATTTGAGTTCTGCACCTCACCTTTCTCCTGCTCCATCTGGGACTCTCTGTTGTGTTCCCTGTCAGGGCGGTCATTGGTGGTAGCCAGGCACCATCTAGCTCTTCTGGTCTCAGGCTGATGAAGTCTCTGGTTTATGTGGCCCTTTCTGTCTCTTGGGCTAATACTTTCCTCGTGTCTTCGGTGTTCTTCATTCTCCTTTACTCCAGGTGGTTGGGACCAATTGCTGCATCTTAGATGGCCACTTGCAAGCTTTTAAGACCCCAGAAACCACTCACCAAAGTAGGACACAGAAGATTTTCTTATTAAGCTTTGTTATGCCAATTGACCTAGATGTCCCCTGAAAGCATGGTCCCCAGACCCTTACCCCTGCTACCCTGTCCCTCAAAGTATTTGGTTGTATTCAGGAAACTTCTTAGCTTTGGTTTAGTCTAGTTGTGCTGACTTCTTCTGTAGTGAGTGCTGTCCTTCCCTTCACCTAAGATAATTCTTACCTATTATCTAGTGAGTAAATAACCCTCCACTTCCCTCACCACCCTCTTAACCATCAAAAAATGTTTTCTTCTG